AATATATAATTAAAACTAATATTATATAAATTTTTAGAAAAATATTTTGATTATTTAAAAAAATAAATGAAAAGCAATTTTTTAATTAAAAAAATTTTAAACATTATAAAAAAAAATGCCTTATAATTGAAGAAATAAGTTAGACTTAGCTTTGCAAAGACTTATTTATTGTTTCTGAATATAGATAATTTTTTTGAAGGTAGACAGAAATTTTTTCTAATTTTATAATTGTTTTTTAGAATTTATATTGTATATATATTGTTCAAAAAATAGAAATCAAAAAATTATATATAGAATTTTTGTTATTTTTAAAAAGAATCAGTCATACAGTTACATTAGCCTCTGTAACAAAGAATGTATAAAGGAAGAAGGCAAAAATTAATAAAGAGAACAATCCAGTAAGTTTTAAATAAATATTCAATTAAATTAAAACACACTTTCATTACCTTAAGTATTATTATTCTATTTGCAATTACACGAAATTCTGTTCTCCTTAGCAACTGACTTACAATACATGTTTATCTTAAATAAATAAATGTATATGTTTTTATTTATTTTATTTTTATTTTTTAATAATTTAAAAAATAGAATATGATCCTTTTTTTTAAAAAAAAACTATTTTAAAATTTTGTGATTCAAAATTTAATTTTTTATAAAAAATAAAAAAGACAATTTGATGAAACTTGTTGATAAACTATAAATAATGAATAAATTATTTTTATTTATAACTAATAATTTACAAAAATGATAAGATTAAAAAAATGCAAATCGAATTTTTTGATTTGAATGTTAATAAAGTACGTATACCGTTTCATTAATAAACAAATGTTTTTTTCTTCTAATGAGTATGAATACTTTAAAAAAATGTTAAAAGTATTTTTTAAGAAATTCTTAAGAATAAATTAATATAAATATCATTACTATAGGAAGAAAAAGTTCAATGTTTCGACAAAATATTTAGATCTAAATTAAAAATTCAAAATAAAACTTGTAAAGTTGTCTGATTTTAATTCATAAGGTATTTATAAAAATTTTAAATGATCTCAACTTTTAATATAAAATCACAAGTTAAAACAAAACAACCGAATTATGATAATCGATTATGATAAATGAATCGTTGTTTATTATTTAGATATAACGCGTTTACTATATATGGCATGACAGTTAGAGAGTTGACTTTATTAATTTTAATTTAATTGAATTTAAACATTCGATAATTACAGTACTTGCGAGAAAACGAATAACGAACGTTTAATTCCTATAGGAAGTCTAGAATAAAAAGTACATCTAATCCAAAATCTAACTGTACTCGAATGCATGATATGACAAGACATTGTCAATTATTGACTTATATCTCACAAGGAACTATTTATGAGATATGGATTTGTTATTCTATTGAACAAACAATTGAGATAAATCAATCAGATTCTCTTATATAATATTCAAACCATACACGTTTCTTTTCTTGCTTATCAGACGCAGAAAATTTGGCATGTATAATTCTGCAAACGAGCAAAGGTAATTTTCGTGTTCTTGATTATGTGAATAGGTAATGTTGTGCGCCAGCTCATGACAAAATGTCAAGTACCAAGAAGTAAGTGCATCATTATAAGAATCCTCGCCCATGGTTTTGTTATAAAACTTAAAGTTGAAGAATAGTGCTCTTTTCCGATTGAATGCAATAAGACTCGTGTTTGGATCGTAAAAAATGTGAATTGTCTTCAAAGGTAGTTCGAATATTTCGCTAAGATCTTTGAGAATACCAGCAAATCTAGTCAAAATCGGCGTTCCAATAATTTCTAATGGATTCACACCTTCAGCTGCAAAAATTTGAAGTCCTCCTTCAACACCAATTTCAGTTAAGGAGCTATCTGGCAAACCCTCACAAGAGTTTGAACCATTCTCTGTGTCATCAAAATTTTCAGAAAACATTACTAGACTTTCCGAATTGGAGCAGCAAGACTTGACCGCATTACGAAGCTTGTCGTGTAGGTTTTTTGTGTATTCTGAGGACGTCAAATCAATAATTTTGGTGGTACCTCCGTTTTGATTGGCTGATTTTTGTTTTTCAAAGTTTCTCTTTTCTAAAATGCGGTCAACCGGGTAGCCGTTAAGCTTCAAGCTCTCTAGTGGGCTTGTCAATAGCATCGCAAAATGCGAAATATCTCTAAAACCATAGTTTTTATATATCTGCCGTCCTAAGTTCGCAGCAATTCCAAGGTAGTCAAGATCACCAGGCGCAATGTATAAAGTCCCATAGTCACGTGAATGGGACAAAAAACAAGATTTAATACTTTCTACTCTTACTTCTTTGGTGGTAGTAAGTTCATATTTAACTTTTATGTCTTTAACTTCAAAGACCGACAAATTCTCGATCCACTCATGACTTCTTCTGACGTGAGACGGAGGAATTCCGTGATAAAAGAGTTTTGCCCTTTCGGAGATCACTTGCTTCAATTTACTAGATATTTTGGAATTCCTCGATACACCTATTAACTGTGGTTCTTCTGTGACACATTCGGACAATGCCCGACATCCTAATTCTCGATAAAATTCCTCTATAGGTTCTTCTTCAGGTGCGAGCAATGGGTTGAAATAAAACTGATACTTTGGGCTGTCACCTATTAAAATATCTTTTACACATCCAAGACTATAAATTCTAGTTTCCTTTAAGAAGTTATCATTCACTCTACTCATTATCCTAGCTCGCTTGTTTTGTCTAATTTCTTTCTGAAAGTCATCTATTCCCTTTGATACGCCTAACAATACCTTAGCATAATTCATCTTATGGACTAAATTGCTTGGCAATCGGTTTCTGTTGATGGCAATGATATAAAGAATCTTGAAATACTTATCTACATCACCGCCAGTCTTCTTCCAATATTCCTCAGAGTTTTCTAACAGATATTCTGCAAGGTCAGTGGGCGATGGTTCTTCTCGAACACCACAACTTTGTAAAAATTTGTTTGCTTTTTCACCAAAATCCACATAAGAAAAAATTTCCGTGTAACTTGTATCAGAGCCCTTGAAAAAGCATTTGCGTGGGCAATTATGTGTGACCTTATTTAGCCGAAAGTTATTACTAGTGATTGGTATAAACTTCAGGTGACGAAGGGTCAACCAATCTCGATTTGAAAAGTTTGATTGTAGTGATGCCAAATAATCGAAAGTTTTTATGGCCTTCCCTCTGTCTCCAGGTGGATTTTTGGACAAGTTTATCAAGACATCCTTGCTATCAGGGTACTGACGAACACCAAGTTCTTCGGCACGAGTGCGAAGATCCTGACGCAAGGCGTGAAATTTTATTGCCGTGCATCCCGGATCATAAAAACATCCCAAAGGAGTCTCATACACATCAGGTTCAGTACACGGCAAGAAAGCTACGTTGATGTTATCAGGCTTATAATCTGAAGAGTATTTTTCCCTAAAGTTTTTTAGGAAATAATTAAGCGCCTTTTCTCTCAAAGATCGCTCTGATTTTGATGAAGCGAGTTGAAGAATAACATCGATGGGTGGGTATTCTCGAAGACCCAACATATACAAGAACTTCGCGTCCTTGTTATAATTAGACCACGTTCCACTCCAGCTGATCATGGGTAGATTAAATTCTTTCATTTCCTTCAATGGTGCATATAATTCGCATGCCATAAATTTAATTTCTTTATTAGATACTGTTGTCTTTTTTTGTTCACCTTGTAAGCTTTGTTTTGGCCAAATCTTAGAAGTCCTTAATGTTTCTTTATCTTCATCCTTTAAATCACTAGAAATCGACACAAGGTATTTTAAAAGTCTAATGTGATTCCAACTACCCTGATTGACTAGACGGTCAAAAATGAGTTGCAAATCTACATGTGATCGAACGTTCAATTTTTTTAAGAGATCGTTGACAGGTGTCAAATTTCGCAAGGAAACAATAGGTAAGTCAGGGAAAAGATTGACTTTAGGGAAATATGCTTCTTTTGGCAATCTCATTCCTTTATTTGTGGGAATGCATCTTTTTTGACAAAGTAACTTCTTTATCAGTTCTTGTTTCATACTCGCGCATTTATTTATTCCTCGAGCTATGACACCAAGGACCTTTTCGGCAAAATCGGAATTTATTTCTAATTCAGGCTTAGAAACAATAAATTCAACCCAGGTATCAAGTGAGAGTTCTACCCAACTCCCGAACCATTTTTTGAGATCCGTTTGCTTAAAGGATTTGCTTATCGAATGAGGTATTACGCTCGATGGAACTTCAAGTTCAGGAGAAATTGTCGTTGGATTCAAAAAATATTTGATTGTTCGAAAAGGTATGTCCTTGTCTGTTCTAACTACAGTCAGGTAAACAAATTTACTGATCTCATCTTTTGTAACTGGTGGGTCTCCTTTGTTGCAATAGTCAACCCACCACTTCAATAGTGCGCTGGCTTCCTCGGTTTCAAGGACGCGACTTTCTAACTCAACAAAGACATCATTTATATCCAATTTCCTTAAAATCCCCACATTTTCATCTTGAAAATTTTTGAAGAAAGTGTCACAGGTTTCCATCACTATTTTAGGAATCACCGGTACGGTTTTGATAAATGCTTCCATTTCAGGAGCAGGAATTCGGACAAAGTTGATTGGCTTCACGCCGTGTGTTGAAAGAACATAAATGTATTCTGATGATATCGATATGTTTCTAAAAAATAATGATTTGACGATGTTACCCACTTGCGCAATTGGTGTGCTTTTTATGAATGTTAATTGTGCAAGCAAATGTGCCACGTCTTTTTCCAACAACTGACGATCGTCCTCGTTATCTGTCCGATATAGTGAAGATATTTTGGTCATATGATCATTGTATATGATCCTTGTCAAGATGCCGAGGGTGCATAACATTTCGTTGTTATAAATAGCCAAAGTTTTTTCGGCAAGATCTATCGCTTCGCGCTCTACTGTCGGAATAACACGAGCAGCAAAGTGAGCACTGCATCCAGTAGTTTGGTAGGTCTTGAACCCGATAAAAATTCGACCTTGTTCGGGGTGTGATATCAAGTCGGATATTTCAGGAATGTTTTTATAAGAAGAGTAGTTTTTGTAATCTGTATACATCATTTGAATGGTTGTCTTCGGGGGTGGATATTTTTTCGTTGATCTTTCCATTTCTTCAGAAAATTCTTTAGTTATGTGAACATCCAGATTGCCACTTGCCACTTTAAAAATCATTGACGATGATTGTTCTGGTGTTTCAATCCGAAATTCTATCTCTCGAACATCGGCAGATCGGAGTTCAAACATTTTTCTCGGTGTTATGGTGTTAAAACTGTAAGGTATGAATATTGATCGAGGCATTGTCATCTTCTTTGAAATATGTATTACGCGCGCCTCGTTGAAGAAGACAGAAACCTCTTGAAGATTTCCAGTGAATCCTAACGAACTAACCAAAAATGTTCCGAACTCATCCATCTTTGGGAATTCCAATGGCTCTCGCATGTCCATAAGAAAAGTTGTCCACGAACGATCTCCTTTTTGGGTTATGGATGACTTTTTGGTAAACAATTGATTCCCCTTCCAGTAAAAATTCATCGCATAATCTCCTGACGAGACAAACGGTTCATCGCAAATCGAGAATAACGAATAAAATCCGACTCCAAATGCACCGATCTTTTGCACGTCAGGATTTCCCGCAGCAATTTTTTTTAATCGATTCCAATCTTCCGGTCGGAATACAAAACCATTGTTCTTAAACATGATCCGTACACATTTGTCCTTGTCTTTTAATGAATTCTTCCCTAAAGATTCAGGATCTTGGAATTTTATTTGAATGATGGAGGATTTTGCGTCATCTGCGTTTTGAATCAACTCCCTGTACACTGCAAACTCAGTTGAATATCTCGCTAAAATTTTTCAATCAAACATCTTTGATCAACCTCAACCATCGCTTCAACATCAGAGTTTGATGTCTGAACCTGTCTCCTAAGCTCGTCCATTCTCAAATTTTATTCAAAAGTATTGATAAAGTTTAAAAGTCTCGACTTTTTTCTAATTTTTTTTTTTTTCTTTTATCTACTCGATTTTTGGCATATTTATATTAAATGTGAATTTGTATACACGTATAAATTATATGTTAAATATAGATTTCTGCGGAATATTAAAGAATGCTAATTCTGGAGTTTCACTAGAAATCAATGCGACGATTTCCTTTCTGCGTATGAGTGAAAGGGTGGGCTGGTATTAACTTGCATGTTTCACAACGTCTGTCTCCAAACGCGAACTTTGTAAAAATTTCCCGTAAGGAGATTACTGTTACAGTATACGCGCGTGATCACCAAGGAAAATTCGGAAAAGAAATCCCTTCTCCGTTCTTGTAATTTACTCTTTCTTTATAAATGAATTGCGGAAAAAAGGCTCTCGGTCAGACTGTACGTGCATACTTGTAACCTCACAGGGTTGTAGTACGGCCGACTCATTATAAAGTTTCCTTAGTTGATCACTTTGAGTATCCATTATATCTTCAAAATAGATCATTGTGAAACCCATTTATCATATCAATGTTGACTGTCGAGAGAAGAATGTTTGGTAATGATATTTTATCAAACAAAGTTCCAAGTTCAACCGTGCTACCATTTGCTCGAAAACGTACTGGCATGTGTAATGTCAATAGGCGCGTGGATATTATTAGATAAATTTGCTTTTGTTTATTATTTTACTGTGCTGTAATTACACGAACGCAATTGATTTCTCTCATTGATTGTGGGAAAATGCGTTTTACTTGGCTGGAAAGAAAATTCTTAAATTAGATGTACAGTAAATATAGTACAAAACACCTTTATAAAGATAACGAAAATAAAATTCTTGGCGTTGCTTTCCGTCATAGTAACTGCGGATCAAGACTTTTGGCATTTTCTACGGATTTAAAAATTAAAAGAGTAAACAAAAAACAATTCTTTGCAACATATTAATTGATGTATATAACTTCATTGACAAGGCAAACCCTATTCAGACTATCATTCATTACACGGCACTTTTACTGGCAAGTTTCAGACTCCCCATTTAAATATTTGGCATCATAAATCTGTGTATTGAATGCGACATAAAAATGATACAAGAAATAGTATCATGCGGTATTAACAAATTATACTAATCATACGTCAACTCTACCCAAACATATGGTAATTTAATCAATTAACCGTTTTTTAAATGTGTAATTCTTTTTTTTTTTTGGAGTTTTTATTATTGGTTATGATAGAAAATTATCGTCACCCTCAGAAAACCGTTGTCTATCTATAAACGCGATCATATGTTATTCATTACGGTTTTTCAATTAGTATTACAGTACGATATTATTAAAATCCGAATTTTAATATAAAAAATAATTAAAATAATGCATTTCTACAAAATTAATAAATTTTTTAAAAAATTCTTTTACAACTGTTATAAGCAAACAAATGTGATATAGCGATTTGATTGCATTGGATTTTTAAAAAGATTTTTTATATCGAGAAATTATGATTTTTTTTTCTCGTAACAATAATATTATGTTAGTTAAATTGAATTATTATGATTATTACGAACAAAATTATTGCTTTAAATTTAATATATATATGTATAATTAAAAAATTATTTTTAAATACTATATAATAAAATCTAATAAATAATTTATAAATTTTCTTTTTACTAATTCTTTGAGTTATAATCCCCAAGTAATACTCAATAGTTATCACAAGGTTTTCACTTCATATTATTTATATAATTTTTTTTAATATACTGTATCTTGCTAAATAAAATAAAATATTTTTTATTCATTTAAAAAGTATAAATTTCTTCTTAACCGTATTTTTTTTACTTTAAAAAGTTAATTTAGAAAAAATCAAATTAGTATTACTTTGATTAAAAAATGCAAAGTTTTTTTGTAACAGTATTAAGAACAAAGTAAGTAATACAAAATCTATTATACAAGTAGAAAGAACAAGTCAATAAAAAAAAGCAAGATTATAGAAATACAATAATTTAAACTATATATGTGTTTGTATTTAATTCAAACATTTTTCAAAAATCATATCATGTTTTATGGTAATAAAGAAATATGTATAGTTTAAATTATATCTCTTTAGAATATCTGGAACTTGAAATACCTTAATTTTTTAATTTTTTATTATCCTACTATATAACATGTAATATATATAAATAACATATAATATATGGCATATAATATGTAACAGATAAACTTAAAAAGTATTTGATATTATTTTAATATAAATTTTCAAATATCAATAATTTTATATTATTTTACTTTTATTTATTTTTTTTTTGAGTAGGTAAACACCATTTCTTTATTTATTCATATATTACAAGGTATACATTTAGAAAAAACAACATCTCTTATGTGCAATTAGCAGCAAGTTTAATGCTAGCCTGCCTACAGTAATCATTTAACTTCTATTAGAAAAGACATTTTAAAACTAGTATACTAATCAAATGATGCCGAGCAGCTATGTATACCTACTCAGAGTTATTTTGAGAAATAAAC